ATTTTTATGAGAAAACAGTTGAGAGCTAACACCTTTTTGTAAACTTTGTATGAAGTTTTTAGGGAAAGGAGAGGGGAAAGCTACAGAAAGCAAAAAAAAACCCCCTCAAAACACCCCCAAAACAAAACAAACAAAAAGTTCTCATGAACACATGCAAACTGAAATGGAGTTCTGCATTGCTCCAAGGGCCTGAACCAGTTCCTATACAAGACCATGGGAATCCGTCAGTTGACTTCTCTGGAGTGGTTGAAGTTATTTATGTAGATGCATCTGCAAAAAGATGAGTTTATGCCAAATTTCAGATTTATTTATATTGCAGTATAACAGTAACAGAAGGTGGCATTAAAATCTTTACATATGTTTTGCAAGCAGTTAATATTACTCTGGCCTTCCCTAGGCAGGGATATTTCTGTATGAAAATCTATTTGATAATATTTACAATAGCAACAGCTTTATGTGTATTTAAAATACATCCTACAGGAAGTTTCTTTGCATAAATGTAAAAGCTGTTTATGCTCTGCTGCTGTGTGGTTTGATCCATTAGCAAATAATTTAATCCCTGTGGGCCTCAGTTTTTCCTGTATGTAAGATGGGTCTAAAATTGACCACTCTTTTATAAAGTGTTTTGAGTTTTGCAGATGCAAAAAGGCCTAGTGTTAATAAAAGTATCAAGTGAAGTGCCCCAGGGGTCAGTCCTGGGCCAGTTTTGTTCAATATCTACATCAACAACCTGGAAGATGCGATGGAGTACACCTTTAGCAAGTGTGCAGATTACACCAAGTAGGGGGAGTAGTAGATATGCTGGAGGATAGGGCTAGGGTTCAGCAAGACCTTGACAAATTGGAGGATTGGTCCAAAAGAAATCTTATGGGCCACATCTAGGTGAGCGCAGATGTTTGTTTCCTTGGGGAAAAGTAGTGGCACACCTTGTGCCACTGGTAATTGCCCCTGGGTAATGACTGTACCACGCATGCTTTGGTATGTGGCAGGTTACCCTGGGTGTGGAGTAGGGGAGGCTGGGGCCAGCAACTGTGCTGGCCCCAGTAGCCTTACCTGGGGTCCAGTGCTCCTCAGTGAGCTGCAGCCATTGTGTTCCTGCAGCTGGGAGTGTGGCTCCAGCTGGCCAGGCTTTGGTTTTTTGTGGCGCACGCTACTACCACATGCTCCTCCCCGCTTTTTTTTGATGCAGGATTTTTTGACCCCGGGATCTCCCAGGTTCAACCCCCAAGTGCTTCAAGATATGCGAGTGCCTGCAGGTGCACAGATGGGTCTGCAAAGCCATATACTGAACATCTGTGCTCATCTGGACGTGACCATTAGGGTTCAATAAGGACAAATGCAGAATCCTGCACTTAGGACAGAACAATCCCATGCGCTGGTACAGGATGGGGATCAACCAGCTAAACAGCAACTCTGCAGAAGTGGACCTGGGGGCTATAGTGGACAAGAAACTGAATATGAGCCAATAATGTGCCACTGTTGTGAAGCAGGCTAACAGCATCCTGGGCTGCATTAGTAAGAGTACTGCCAGCAAATCGAGGGAAGAGATTATTCCCCTCTTCGGCACTGGTGAGGCCACATCTGGAGTAGTGTCCAGTTTTGCACCCCCCCTGCAGAAAGGATGTAGACAAACTAGAGAGTCCAGAGGAGGACATTGAAACTGAGGGGGCTAGGGCACATGACTTAGGAGGAGAGGCTGAGGGAATGGCTTATTTAGTCTGGAGAAGACTGAGGGGGGAATTTAATGGCAGCCTTCAACAACCTGAAGGGAGGTTCAAAAGAGGCTGGAGCTGGACTGTTCTCAGTGGTGATGGATGACAGAACAAGGAGCAGCGGTCCCAAGTTGCAGTAAGGGAAATTTAGGTTAGATATCAGGAAAAATGTTTTCACGAGGAGGGTAGTAAAGCACTGGAACAGGTTACCCGAGAGGTTGTGGAATCTCCATCTCTGAAGGTTTTCAAGACCTGGCTAGACAAAGCCTTGGCTGGGATGATATAGTTGGGCCACCGTATCAGAGCCTGATTTTCAAGGATGATTGCTCAGCACTTCCTAAACCCAGGCTTCTGTATAGGAGCTGGTCCTGCTTTGAGCAGGGGGTTGGATTAGATGAGCTCCTCAGGTCTCTTCCAACCCTAAATTTCTGGTTCTAAAACATTGAAAAATGACTTCCAGACAGTTTCTAGGGGGTATGAAATCAGCTCTGCAAGATGTTGTTATGAGATGGCCAGAAAGTGTGTGGGGTAAACAATTTCCCTTTCTTTAAAAAAAACAACAAAAAACCCCAAAACAAACAAAAACAAAAAAACCGGATTTCAGTAGTAATTGAAAGCCCTGGAGGAGAGCAACCAACTTGGGCCACCGTATCAGAGCCTGATTTTTCAAGGATGATTGCTCAGCACTTTCTAAAAGTAGGCTTCTGTACAGAGAGGCTCATGCTAGACACTCAAAAATGAAGGCTCCTCAAACCTCACTAGTCACTTAACATTTTGCTGCCAATCTTTTATTAGCCCATAGTCTGGAAGAGGCTGTGCAGGCTTCTGCGTATTGTTCTTTAGCTCTGACCTGAAGGGACTATTTATAGGGTGAGAGGGTAGCTTAATTTCACTGCCAGTCTTTAACCTCCCTGCTGAGACTTGTCAACAAGTGTGCTAATTAGCACTAAATATGATGGCAGTTATAGTAATGTGGACATCTGTTCACCAGGAACAAAATTGATATTTTTAAACCATTATGTGTCTAATGTAGAATACAGCTATGCATACTTAATACCTATATAACAGCAATCTTTTTTTATACTGAACATCAGTATAGGAAGGGATATAAAAAAAAGCAGGTAGTTTTTTGCAATGTTTTGAATATCTTAATTGGAGTGCTGGACTGTTGAGTTCCTGGTGATGGAGATTTTACCAGTGCACAAGTGGAAAATTTGTAAAAAATTATCCCAATACAAATGTTTAAAGCTTCTAAGAACTTTACAGGGCTTTTAGGCTGCTTGTTTGGTCACTTGCAGAATCTTTTTGTCCCAAAGTTGAGTGCGTGGAAATCTGGGGCTGGATGATTAGCTCAGTCCCATTATTATTATTATAAGGAACTAAATGTTGCATTTTAGTTAATATGTCAAAAATGGCCAAGGCAATTTTACACATTCATACAAAGGAACAAGGCCAGGTTCATAAAAGGACTTGGGCGCCCAAGTCCTATCAATGGGCACAGACAGAAGTGATAACTTTTGCCCCACCTGGCCACAGAAAGTGGTTTATAGCTGTGACCAAACACAAGTACATGGCTGTAGACTGCTTAAAAATGGCTGATTGGGCAAAAATGTTGAGCCCTCATTGCATGAGGGTCAGATGAAGACGTTTCAAAACAGTGTCTTCTGTAACTTGGCTGCCTGCCTGCCAGACTCTGAGCTGTTTTCAGAATGGAAGGGAGGAAAGGGTGCGGAGGGAGTTTGGTTCGGGGGTGTTTCAGCCCCTGCTGGAGGGTGGAGTGGGTGAATTGGGGAGAAGCGAGGTTTTCCAATTCACCCCAGCCCCAGCTGGGGAACCCCTAGAACGAGCTGCCCCTGCTGCCCTCCTCCCATTCTGAAAACAGCCAGGGCTGGCAGGGAGCAGGGGCATTGCTAGGGGAAGCTGGCTCCCCCCACAGCTCGGTTCCCCTCTGCCTTGGCACAAACAGTGAACTTGTGTTTGGTCCAGGGGATCACTGTAACTCAGAATGCTTCCTGCAGATTGTTCCGAGGTACAGTGGGGAGCTGCGCTTCTCTCTGTGCCCTAAGTGCCCCTGCAGGCACCCAGGTCCAAATACATATCCTTCAGCCCTCTTCCCCTCCCTCACACTTGGCTTCCTCCTCTTGGAGCAGTTGTACTTTGCCTAAAAGTTAAATATTCATTTAAGAAAATAAAGGGACAGAATATCTCTATGACTTTGGTGGTACAGCTCTGAAAATGAGAGACCTGTGTTCCAGTTGCTGCTTCAATGAATGTTGAAGTAGTTCATGTGGAAGTGGGTAAGGGTTGTGAATCCTGTTTTAGATATAGGTGCCTCTCTATGGCTCAGGGCCTCTGGCTGCTTTACTACTCCATCCAGGTAAAGCACAGACTAACTGCAGACACTTCCTCTGCCTGATGAAGGGTAATTGCACCCAAAAGCTTGCAAAGACTTTTTCCAACTATGGTCTAATAAAAGATATCAGATTTACCCAAAGAACCTCATTTGCTTAAGTCCTAGAGGCACATACTGAAAGCATTATCCCTCTTTCAGCATTTCCTGTTGGTTATCTTAGGCTAAGGGCTGGCAACCTTTTAGCACAGTGGGCCAGGTACTTGTGGCTCAGTTGATACAGCAGGTTGCTGATCTCTTGCCCCTGATCCCATGCTGCTCCAATCTCCTCCCTGCTCTGTACCCTCTTCCACTTACTGGCAGCCATGGTGAACATCGTTTGGAAATAGCAAAATCAGCTGTGAGGGCACAGAATGGGCAGCTTTAAATGGCCACTTGACTGCATCCGCTTTAAATTGGCACCCGTTACCTAATCACATCTTTGTGAGTTGTAACCAAGCTCTTTGTAGACCAGATCTGGCACATTGCTGACCACTGCCTTAGGCAGCTTCCCAGTCAGCACGATGGCTTATATGAATCCCAGTCTTAAGTGTCTGACTTTCTCTAGGCATTACACAGCAGGCTTGGGTGCTAACTTAGACTTCAAAGCATGCCACTGAAATGCTTAAGCTGTTCTGTGGATTTAGCTCCAGGTTCTCCATAAGTTATCAGAGCTCAGTTGACTTCACCAGAACATAAGCTGAGGATGTAGCCCAAACCATATATATGGAAGAAGGGATGAGGCTTAAGTGGAATGATCTCAGGTAAGATTTATGGGAAATATTTCAGAAGATGGCCAGTAAGCAGCTTATCTTCCATCTTTTTGCCAATTTGTGTGCATTAGTATTGTATAACTCAAAGCATAAAGCAAATATGACTTTACTTTTCTTCTGCCGTAGGAACAGCTGCAATGAAGGGACTGAGACAATCTCTCCTTAAACATAACTGATTATGCTACTTTCAGAGCATCAGAAGCAGAAGTACCCTTTGTCCATACAGACTGATGGACAAGTGTGATAAATCATCCTCAGGTTCATAAAAACAGGCTGGTGGGAGGTGCCTAAAGGTTCGTATATATAAGAATAAAAGCAGAATTTTTCCAGATGATTTGAAGTTTAGCTGTCTTGATCTGCACCAAAGATTGCAATGTGCAAGATCATTTATTAGATTAACGTTGGTATATTAAGGATACTTACATGGAACCAATAATGGTTACTTTATCAGTGTGTCAGTATTCTGCTCTAACTTCATTTTAAAGTCAAGCTTCTATTATTTTGATAACCATGACTCTGACCAATATGACTCTTGTTAATTTGTGTCTGACCTTGGACCAACATCGACGTTTCTTTCCTCTTCATATCTCCTGTAGATTTAAATGTCTTAATTACATTAGCCTTTTATTAAACAAATGTTGATCTTTACAAGATGTTGACAAGGCATATGCACTGCATTGTATGAAAGAAAATTCCACTTGTATGTGGAGACTAGACACACAGCTTAGGTCTATGGACTCCACACCAGGGACCATGTGTCTAAATCTTAGGCACTGCAACACCCAAATCCTTTTGTGCCTCAAGTCCTAAGGTACCATTCAGTCTGAATAAGGATGGTAAAATCTGGATGGATAGCAGAATTTCATAGATTTTAAGATGAGAAGGAACCATTATGATAACTTACGTTGATCTAATCTTCCTCTCACTCGCACTGTTTCCTTATAGTTTACCCATAACCAATTATACATAATTGTTCACACTTCCACACAGATATAGGGCTACCCTTTTATCATAAAGGTGTGGTTGTGACAATACTGTTTTCATGCATACATCACCATCATACCGAAGGGTCTTGATACGTTTCACATTCTTTGTAACGTCACATACAATATAGTCAATTTTTGAATCACTGGAAACATGTATTAAAATAAAGCTGTATCTGTGGTAGAAATTGGCTACTACTTAATGGTACTCAGTATTACTCAGTGTTATTTCTAGCAGGAAAAAAAGAACACCACAATTCCCAAACTATGGGTTGTGACCCCATTTGGGTAGGAGTAGGGTCAGGGGACCCATAGAAATTCAGTCACTGCTGAAGGGCATAGAGCAGAAGTGGAGATGTAGTGCAAAAAGGACTGGGAAGTGCTTCTGTATTTAAAAATTAAGTGGGACTTTTTGGAATGAAGCTAAATGTGGCTACAAAGCAAGGATTACATCTTTGCTCTCTGATATTGCCATGTGAGAACAATGACTCAAAAAGGTCAAGCCCTTTCATATCTCATCTGAAAGTTAGCACTTCCAGTCACAAGACTGCACCCCTTAAAAGCATAATGGGGTATTGGCTCATTACCCAATAAAAGGAAAGACAGCTCAACATCATTTCAGGTAGTGTAGACGTGCTCCTCAGGGGTCTTCCATTCAATTACTGAGCAGTTCCCATGCTGCTTTGCTTGTGAGATTATAATAAAAGGCCACATGGCAGGAGGCCAACTATGCAAGGAGGAAGCCTCTTTGTATTTTAATACTTAAAAAAATAAATGATTAATAAATAGATTAATAAAAATAGAAACTGTAACAAACACGCAAAGCTTATTAATGGCTAAAATGGAAGAGAATGTTTTCCTTACCTTTTCTTTTGGATTTGTTACTTCTTTTGCAAAATACTTTTCCTACCAGTATATTAAAAAAAAAATCCTTAAACATTAATTGGTTAAGAAAGGAATAGAAGAGAAAAAACAAAACAAACAAACAAACAAACAAAAAAGAAACCAGAGTTTAGCCAACCTTTTTAATTAGAGTATATTGTACTTCCAAACTGGATACACTAGAAATTGGCAATGCAACATAAGATGCAAAGGAATATACCAGTTACTGTCAAAATGACCCTGTACAGCCTTATAATGCAAAAAGCTTTATACAATACAAATTTTATTAATGTACACAAACCTTGACAGAGTGATATTTGAACATAATACAACATGTAAAAAAATAAAGAGTAAGAAAGAAAGTGCTGAGAACTTTAAATGAATTATTGGATGGAAAAAACAAGTCAAACTTCATTAAAGAATGCATAGTGAAAACAAGTATGAAATTAGCAGAATGGTGATGGGAATTATCAGAACTGTTAGTTTTTAATAGGTAAGGGCTGTCTATAGAGAACATTCCTTTCTTTAGCCTTGAACTGCTCACCCGGTATTGTACACGCAAGGGCTCTGATAAATACTGTCTATTTTTCTTAAAAAAATAAAAACCTCCAAACACACCTTTCCTCACTCTGAAAACTTGTATAACTTACCAGAAAGAATTAAATGTCTCTTTCCAAAGTGCTAAACAAAATTGCCATTAAACATTACTGTGTCACTTGAATACAGGTAGAGTGAAGATTTGTTAAACACGTGGCATTAATATGTTGACAGTTCCATAACACTCATTCTTGGACGTCCCAGCCCTGTTTATTTTGCAGTTTGGTTTATATTGCAGCTTCTTTTCTCCTACACATCTGTAGTTTCTCTGTTGGTGCTCAAATGTTCTTTTTGTGTTTAAAGGATGCTTTCCGTAATAGAATGGGCTCAAACCCTGCAAATGTATCTGCTGAACTCCTGTTTGCCTAATTCGTATGCTAAAGGTTACTCAGTTTGTAACAGTTGTTAGTTTGAATGACCTACTACTAGAGAGCTCAGCTCCAGCATTTTCTATTCTGTTAATACTACTGATGAAGTTGATGGACGTTCTGAAGGGGTAAAGAATGATAAACAGGACCCTGAGTTGAGTGCATTAACTATCAAGAGATTTCTACAGGATTTGGAATAGGTGACTTTTCTTAATAGCTCAGCTAGAATAGCAACATGCTCATTAGGACAACCTATCTGCTGGAGCTTAATTGGATAGGAAATCTTGTCATTGTTATTTTAAAACTGTTACGGTACAAGCAGCTCATAGTTTAGGCTCTCCTCTGTGTTTCTGCACAGTAAACAGCTTCCAGTATCTTAACATTGGTGCACAGGGGAGTATTTCCTTCACAAGACTTCAGAGGACAGTTTTCTAATGACAATAGGAAATGGTTGGCCTGGAACAGTGCATTGGAACAGTATTAAATCCTTTAAGCTTAGTTGTAAGTTTTCACGTCCTTTTAAATCATCATTTAGGAAAAGGCTTTCATACAAGCTGAATTTTAAGCACAATGGAAGTTAAGCATGTTACAGTGAAGAATATGGCTAATGTCCCTTTCTTCATAAGCATGCCTTCTTGAATTAGGGCTTAATTTTGATACTGTCATAACCAATCAATCAGATACAAAGTCCACAGTCCACTGAAGTTGATAGGCCTCTACTCATTAACTCCAATGGACTTTGAATTAAGACCCTTAAAATGTATACAAGATAAAGAATGCTTTCAAGGGAGGGAATAATATGAGGGTACCAAAATAAATCCAATTTGGGCAACCTTTCTTAATGGCTTAGTTGGGAGGCACCCTGAGGAAAACTAGTCAGAACTCTGTATACCTGATGGAACATAAAGAACCCGACCCAATTCCAAGATGGAACACAACAAAACACAATATGAAAGCATTCCTGTATGTCGAATGACCCTAAGCGATGAGTACATTTTAAAGATTTTTGTATTTTTTTATAACTTCCATTTTCAAGAAAAAACATCTTTTACTCATGACCTTTCTCCTTGTTTTGCACTAGAAATTACGTTGTCTTAAGAAATACAAATCTATTAACATTCCGCCAAGACTTTTTCTTCTTTTAAGATCGTTGCTTGCATTTCAAGATTAACAAAGGTTCTGCAACCAATCCGCGTTTGCTTCTTACTGCAATAAAGTGCTACATATAAAGTTGTCATTTTAATGACCACAAAGTAAGAGCATTAAATAAGTATAAAGTTAGCCTTCTAGCAGTGTACACTCTATCAGCTTTTAACAAAAGGGAATAAAGTATTACTAAATAACATGAAGGATAATATTGGTAGGACCATGGAATCTGCAAGTACAATTGAAATAGAGGATATATATAAAAAAGGAGATCTGTCTGATTAAACAGCACCTTTTCATAGCTTTATATTTCAAAGAAACTGCCGGTACCTCTTCAAATATATAGTCTGATATTACTTCATCCTACAGAAGAAACATTTTTCTTCTTTTTTTTCGCAAGTGAGAAACAAACTAGTGCAAGACTAAAGCACTGTGCAAAACTGCCTTTTTTTTTTTAGTCTGAGCATTTATACCCAGAATTTACCATACCCCCCATTTTTAATCCCCTTTGCTGGATTTAACCACCATAGAATTCTAGTTATGCAAGTTGTTCCTGCAAACTAAAGGTATCCACTGTATTAATACAGCGTGTGTGTGTGAGTCTGTGTGTATATATGTATTATATATATTTATTTATATGCCCTTTTAAAACAAAAGATGCATGGACCAGACCCTGAGCTTTGTTACACCAGTGTAACAGTTAAGGAACTGGCCCTATGTGTGTATACACACACATTTCATTTTCATACTCTCATCTTACAGTGCTGAAAGTAATTTCCTCCAGATCTGTTCCACCTTCATCCCCAAATCTTTACAATGGATGATCTGAGGACAAGGCACAAAGTATGCAATGGGAAACTGCACGCAGCACTGAAATAATATATCAATCCTCACTGAACCAAGCATTGCTCTCTCCACAACCCTACAGAGTTCTGGGAAGAGGCAGAAGGAAAAGGGGGCAAGTATGGAAAAAGGGAACATTTTAATAATTATTAAATTAGCCAGATACAAAGGATGTGCAAAAGCAATGTCATGGCACACAACAGACTTTCTCACACTCATTCTCTCTCTCTCTCTCTCTCTCACACACCAAAAATAAAATGCATCAACATGTAATTTTACAAGTGCTGATTGCCGTTAAGGACACTCTTGTTCAGTTTAACAAGACAAAATAGTTTTTTAGATAAGAGTACTGGGAACATGCCTCTGAAGGTAGAAATATGCAGTAGGTTGCCTCTCTGAAGATTTAATAAAGCAGCTTTCATGTCAATGCAATAAGTATACACACAGAGCCATTTTCTAAACCTTACTAATGATATATAGTACAAGTGTTCATACCTCTTCGGTCTATATTTTGCAGCAATGTATACCTGCTGGGTTTGTTGGGGTATTTTTGGTACAGAATGTAACTGTCTTCAGACAGTTTCTGCCCTTTCTGTTAGTCCAAGGTAGGCGAGGAAGGAGTGTTTCGGCGAGGTGGCACCTGCAGGTGCAGTCTGAGGTCTGGGTGGATGGAATGTGACATCAAAGTGGTTCTTGGGGAAGAACATTGTTAAGGGAATGAGGTGGGCAAAATCAGAATTCCAATATTTATCCAAGCACAGAGAAGTGCCGTTTATGGCCAAGGCCTTGACTGCCAAGTTTGGCTCTCCACCGCTGCTGTGTGCAGCTGACATGGCCACTGTTTGCAGAGCCTGGGAGGCAGACATGACTGAGAGGGGTGACAAGAGGTTTCTGGAGCTATTGACTGTGAGAAGAGGGCTGGCTTCCTTGGAGTTTGAATACTGGCCCTTCTTCTCCTCTTCGGCACAGTCCCCATTCTGGTGCTTCTTCACGTGGCGGCTGAAGACAAAAGGGTGGGTAGTCTTGAACAGGCACTCGTCGCAGCTGAAAGTCTGACGTGGAGCATGCTTCAGTTTCTTGTGCAAGTTGAGATTGTCTTTGCGTTTGCAGCTGTAGCTGCACTGGTCACAGTGAAAAGGGCGCTCACCGGTGTGGACACGTACGTGCTCTATTAGCTTGTTGGCGGTCTTTGACAGATAACCACACTGGTCACACTTGTAATGGTTGCCGAGGCGATGTTCCCGGATGTGCATTTCCAGCTCCAGCTGATTTGCTTTCACTGTCTGGCAAATCCGACACTTGTACTCCATCTTGTAGTGGGTCTTCAGATGGCATTCCATTGCTGCAGGGCGGTTGGTGGAGTAAATGCAGAACGGGCACCTAGCAAAACAACAAGACCCAGGAAAAGGCAAACATTCAAGTTCTGAAGATAATTCTTTCTTCAAACTTTCCTCCACCCTTTTTAATGCATGAATGGTTCTGGTTTATTTTAACCCCTTTTTACTATAACTATGGGCAAAACCATGATTTTTCAGCACTTTGTAGCATATTTAGCTCATCTTATCATTTGGCTCTACAAAAACGTAAGTGTGCTGATACATTATAAACTTATTCCTAGGAAAATCTTGACACCACTCATGGCTGTATGCACCTAATCTAATGACTCGTCTACCCAGGAAATTTAATACACAGAAATGCTGGATGTGAATTTACAGCAGAGACACGTGTAGAGCAGACAGACTGGTTGTGTGTGAGGAAGCTTATTTTAATTTCAGGCCACTTCTTGCTGGAAAGCAAGTTTGTGCAGCTATGCATAACAGTGTCCACTTACGTAAAGAAAGAATAAACTTGTGCTATGCCACGCAAAACACAAACAGAAGGAGAATGCTGGGAAATCCTTTCAAGGATAAACTTGGAATACACTTGAAAGAAACAGCAGCAAATAGTCTGCTGGAAAGATTTCCTGTCCACTGAGTAATATTCTGTTCGCCAATAACTGGTCTTTTCCCAGATGACTGTATTACCCTGCTATCTTGGAACTGAAGTCAAAGCTCAGCACAAACTGTGGTGAAGTTAGTAACCACTGGCA